CCCCCCCCCTGCCCCTGCCACACAAGGGCACGCTGCTGCGCCGGCTGAGCAGGACTATGGCACCACGCACGGCGCTGCTTCCTCCGTCTCCTTCGGCCTTGGCACGTGCAAGGCTTTCTTTTGCTATCCAGTTCACCTAACCCACTAGTTGAGTATTTCTGCCTGCCCCAGCAAGACAGGGTAAAGCCCAGGGACCTCTACAGTCAGAGACGTAGGTGCCCCCATGCTCAGCTCTGTTAGCATGGCATCAAGTGGGATCTGGAAGATACTTTACTCTCACAAAGCTCCGTTACCTGGGACCTCTGTAAAATATTTTACATCTGTGGGTAAACAGATACTTGACGCAAGTCTTTCTAGAGTCTTTCTCCCTAAGCTAACGATTAAAGGCTGAGACTTGTTCTCTGAGGTCTTCTACCAATAGCAAGTAGAAGGCAGAACCTCAAGTGTCCTACACAGCAGGTGGGTTCACGGAGAATGAGAAAAATAAAAGAGATGGAGAGCAGTAAGGCAACTCAGAATTACATCCTACTCAGCATTACATCCTACAAACAAACAAGACAGCAAAAACATGGCCATTGTTCCTCGAAAAAGGACCAAAACATCGCTTCATCTCTGCTTTCCAGGCAGCTCCACAGGTGCTGGCTGACTGTGCAGGAATATGTTCATCTCCACAGGAACATAATGTTGATCAAAACACTCTGAAATCTAAGAATACCTTTTCAGAGAAGCTGTCATAAGGAAAAGCTTGAGAGAATAGCTTTTATTTATATATTAAGGGGTAAAATATTCCATAAAGAAACTGTTACCTAGACTCCTTATTAAAGTCAAATCAAGATCAAATCAGAAAGGCTAAGAATTAGAAACAAGAAATTTGGGCAAGAGTGTCACCTTTCCACAGAAAAGCAAGCAGGAAAAGCTGTAAGACAAGACCACTGATAAATGGTTTAAGAGAGAAGATTCTGGTTTTTAAACTCGCTTTTCCCAGCAGGGATTCTGTCCAGCCACCACTCTCCATCACCTGAGCATTACTGTTAGGCAGTGGTAAGACCAGGCTGGGCACCATGCTCCACACCGCTGGCTACTGAACAAAAAGCTTGTCATCAAAGCCCCAGTCCTAAAAAAATATAGTCTGGTGTTAAATTTGGCACAAAGAGTTCATTCAAAGCTTGCTGAGGTCCAAAATAAATCCACTTTTTTTTTTTTTTTTTGGTTTTCAATGGATTTTAAGTGAAGAACTAAGGACTTGTGATCACAAACAACTTTAGTTGAGTAACATAAATTAATAAATATTTGGTTTCAGCACTGTTAACCAAATACATACAATACTATTACTGTAAGAACTAGATTAACTAATGCTGCTCAATGCATTTAATTTTCAGTCAGTTTCTTTTTAACAAATAAAACCTTTTGCTGTTCAGGAATAATGAACCAAAAAGAGCGAATGATAATACTGCAAATGAACGTAGTGGGGTTTTGAAAACACCCTGATGAAACTATGGGAAGAAATGTTCATTTTATTTTCAACTTGTTTTAAGGAAAATAATGTCTCTAAAGAGCGAAAAGAGAAATAAATGTAAAAAACAATCTAGTGTGCAAGAGATTAAGATTACCAGGATTACTGAAGCTGAACAAACTTCACTTGTCAAATGGCAGCAGTTAACTTCAGTAGGTTACACAAGTATAAGTAACAAAAAGAGCACTGGAATGTTTGCAAACCTCCAGCAGTTTGAAATAATTTTGGAGGTACTTCTAAACTGCAGCTGAAAGGACGTGCTCTTAACAATTTAGCTATCTGACCGTAACATACCTTTAATCTTGTGCAATGGCAAACTCTTTAAAGAATGAAGATCTTGGTTCAGTAAACAAAACATAAGCAAGCAGATGATTCTCACACAGCTTTGTCCACAGTAAACCTGCACTTTTCCATACTAAAGAGTCAAACCTACTAAAGTTAGAAGGGGGGGTGAGGAGCAGGGAAGGAGGGGGATGCTGCAATAACATAAGGAATAATAATGGCTGAATGCAAACCACTGAAGATAATTTCAGTGATGCCACCACCGCTCTGCTGGTACCCAGGAGCACATGGGCAGTTACATGCCTCCTTTTCCCTGGTGCATGGACCTTAACCGTGTCCTTTCCACTGCACAAACCTACTGACACAACAGATTAGTTAAACAGCCTCAGCGCATGGAGCTCGGTGTCGCTTTTAGCAGCTTCTCTGCTCTCTGGGGTGTGCGACGGCAATGAACTCCCTGCCCTCTGCTCAAAGACCAGTCAGGGTTGGGTGGAGGTAAAAGCAAGGAGAGCCTCCACATAGAGCCACCCCTCCTCAAAAAATCCGCAGAGTTGTGCTCGATGGTGGAGCTTCTACCCAGCTTCTGCCTGCGGAAAGGCATTACTCCCTAACTGTTTTTGCAAAAGCTGGACTCCTACTTCAGTCCTTAGAAAAAAACGACTTTTAAACATGCTTGACAGCAATGGACATCTCTGAACAGCAGTTCCCCATCAAGCTCTGGCGTTCAGGGAACTGGCTGAGGCTCCCGGCCCGCTCCTGCGTTCAGAAGTTTTGCTAAACAGCAGCGTTTTGTTTCCAACCCACAAGAGCCCATAGAGACATGCCAGCTTAGAGGCAGCGCTAAAAATCTTTCAAGAAGGGATCTGACATTTTCTTTTGTTCTCATTTCTATAGTATTTTCTCCTTCGAGATGGTTATTTGAAGTATCTGGTGCTGACATTTAGCAAAATGTGAAATATGAATTGCAATAGCTGTTCCTAGGTAGTGACGCAGCGCAGGACCGGGTGTCCCACTGGAGGGACACCGTCCAGAACACATGTAATTGTTCAGATGCTCCCACAGCTTCCATCTTTGCTGTGCTTTTCTCTCTCCCGCACACAAATTAACCCACAAACTCCAGTATAGTGGTGCTACACTCTACCACAGGGCTTTTTCTATCATAAATCAGAGACATCTCTTCCACCTTGCTCCAGCAAGACAGTTTCATGACCAAAAGGATGCTTATGCATGCAAATCCTTCCCATCACAATCACAAAAATTCCCCCAACTTCCCTATGTATAATTAGCTTACTGCAAAAAATTACCAGATAAATCTGTCTCTAGCAAAAAAGCTGATCAGAAGATGAAAAGACAGACTGAGACATCAATAAACTGCCCTTTTTCAGGGGGATGACAGGACTCACTGCAAAGGAACATATTTTATAGCACAGATACTCTTGGGTGGAAGCTGCGTTTAGTGTCGTTATATTTATTCACTCACACTGTCCAGTAAAACCTCACCACAAGCTGCCAAAAAGCTCAGCACCACAGAGCTCCCCCTTCTCACTGTGGATGCAACGGATGCCCTACAGGTCCATTGGCATTCAGAGCCCCACGCCATCACGACTTCCAAGCACACAAGCACATGCTGAGTAAATCAATGTAAATCTTCTGGCCTAATTTCCCCAAGAACTATAGAAGTCAAAAAGAGAAAACGGATCTCAGCCTTCCTGCAAAATCAGCAACAATCCAAGAGCTTCAATCAAAGTTTTTGTTCACTTAAGATCACTTTGACTGTCCTTGTATCACTTAGACCAGAAACGTCTGCGTTATCACAACTTTTTTAAATGCAGAAAGAAATATCAGTGTCTTCCACACAGAGGAAAAAAACACCAAGAGTTTACGTCCTTGTAAACAGCATCTGAATTTCTATCCAAAAACCATTAAATATGATTAAATCTTTTAACGTCTGCTAACACTGCTTGAATTGCCTGTTTGTGTATTCACGTTTACAAAAGCAGTCAGTCGGTGAAATATAAAGCAGGAAAATCTCCTGCAGAAAACCCTGTTGCAACGAGCAGAACTGAGCCTGCTGCGCCAAGCAAGCCACATCCCATTCCTATTCTGTGTTTATGCCATTGCATCCTATAAAAGATAACAGATGCCTCACAGCCACATTCCTTAGGTGAAACTATTTGCCAAAACACCCTGATAATTTATAGCAAGGATTTGTACACACTGGAACTCAGTCTCTCAACACACTTTCTTAAACTCCCCTGTGACAAAAAAATGCAGAACTCCAAGGACATGGACGTGCCACAGCACCCCAAACGCCTCGGCACTTCTGCTTCAGCAGCTGCCAGAGACTTTGGGCTAGCCTTGGGCTTTATTTATAAGCTCTCAGTAGCCCTTGCTGCTGTGCTTAAGGGTCAGGCTTTCTCACCTTTATTTTCTTCTATTTGCAAAATTGTCCAGGCTTATTTTGGTGAATGTCTGTGTTTGCCCAGCCTGTGTGCAACCAGGGATGTGATACCAATCCTCAAGGGCAGAGTTCCAACTTTCCCAAGAAAAATCGGTTTTATTTTACGCATTACAGTCGCTTTGCACCTGTGCTATAAAAGCAACATTTACCAAAACCACCAAATTTGTGGTGCAAGGATAGCATTTCCAGGAGCGCCAGACTTTCTATACACAGATTTCTTTCAGTAAATTTCAGAAGCATGATGCTCCTACACATACCACTGCACACACACACAAAAAAACCTTCTGGGAATTTGTTAAAATATTAACCCTTTGCAACAGCTTGTACTATTTCATAAGAGAAGACACAGAGAAAACATCAGTGCCTTATGTATTTTATTTAAGGCGGCTGAAGCGCAAAGCATAGGATGCAGATGTAGTAGGGGCACGCTGGTGCACATCATGTCCCACCTCCGAGTACGGAGGTCAATACGCCTTTCAAAAGGTGCGTGTCAAGGGTTCCCAAAGCAGGGAACCCTTTCTCCCAGGCTTTTTACCTCTCTCCCAACCTACGAGTCTCACACATGCCCTAGAGATCCTCACCGGTCAGGGACTGGTCCGCTCCCAGCACGTTCCATTCCGCTGGCAGTTTCAGGTGTCGAAACGCCAAAGCCACTTTCTCATCCAAAAAGTCCACGTCAGCAGCGGGTGGTCTCGACCGGTCCAAGAATCGGGTGAAATTCAGTGCCTGCTGGTTGCCGGCGCAGGTGGCCAGAAACTGGGCGGCGTCGTAGGCTTCATCCTGGACAAACTGGAAACTCTCTTCTGCCACAACCAGAACAGGATGACCTTCTCTAGAAGCACAAAGTGCCACCTTCACTGTCTCACAGCAGTCATGGCCTGCAAAATAAAACCAAGGGAAACGGTCAAAAAGAACAATTGCACACCCTGAAGAAACACAACTGAGCAACTCCTTTGAGACACACAGTCTTCACATTAAATCAGGTAAGTGCAAGTTATTGAGGGTCACAACTCTACTATCCTGGGAATTCACATGTATCAGCAGAGATAAGTATTTCCTTACAGACTTTAAAAGGAAAAGATGCATAACTCTTCTCTGTCACAAAATAAACCAAGAAATACAGCCCACCCTTATCTGACCAGGCTATTTCTGATCAGCGACAAGTAAACTCAAGAGCATTAAGTAACTTTAGTGGAGATGTTGCTAATGTATCAAAAGCCAGATTATACGGTCAAACTTTTCTTTTCCAGCTCCACAGGACTCCAGTAACTCACCAGAAACTAGAATCCAAGTGCTGCAAAACTACGCACTCCAAATGCTGTCACAACACTTGGCTTGTACTGAAAACACCACAATTTCACCTAAAACAAAGACCTAAATGGCTACAAGAGCACAACCTGCCCAGGCATGCCCTGTGTGTGCCCTCACATCCCACGCTCACTGCTGCACCTGCCCTTTGCACTTGAGTTCACACCACAAACCTAAAACTAAGCTGCTTCTGCTAAATAATAACATGGAAATGGCCACTTTCCGTATTTGCAAAACAAAAAAGGTTGGAAGTTCGGTAACTTTTAAGTTTATTTATTTATTTAGGGCGGGGGAAGCAAGAGAAAGGATGCCCTGGTATAGCAGCAATTTCATTGACTCAGAAACTAAAAAAAAAAAAAAAAAATCCCCCAAAATCAACAACATCCACACCACCTTTTTTACTACTTTAAAAGGAAAAACATACCATGTGTCCAACGTGATCAGCACTTGCAATTGTCAGACATGCCCCTTCAATAATAAGGTTTGTGTTTCAAGTTCACCGTGCGGCAGAGTTCCTTGTTCCAGTCTCGGACTGACGTCATGGCTGTTTTTGCCAGAACAGCATGGACCCTGCACTAATTACTGGAAAAGCTTCTTTTTGCCCATGACCTCAGCATACTACTACATTCATGAAGCTCTGCTTAATTGAATACAAAATGACGATTTATTTTTAAAGGCTTGAAAATTCAATTTAAGCCCCTATTTGTGGTCAGTGGGAAAGTTCCCTTCTTGTGTCAGGGCGCTTTGCTGTTGATTTCCCTGACAAAAGGAAAAATATGTCCCTAATCTTCATGGTCTTTCAGCCAACCTGCCAAATCTGTTCTGAGGCTTTTGGCACTATACAGGTTTTGTCTGCTGAAAGAGGCGATCCTGAAGTTAATTGAAAGGTCAAAACTGCTATTAGGACACTGCAGGTAGCACCAAAATTGTCAGAGATGAGGCTGCGCGGCTTCCTAAGGAGAGAAAATGCAGCTGGAAAGGTATCAAAGACAAGTGAAGAAGGGGAGGACGAAAACACACATGGATGTCCCTGCAACAGCTCAATACACCCAGAAGGCTCAGAAGCTAAAAGGTGAGAAAATTTCTTTCCATCCAGCACCAGGCATCTATTAGCAAGAGGATGATGCGAAAGCCGAAGGAATAGACATGCTAGTACTGATGTCATGAAAAAGAACGACAAAGACCTGCTTCTACTGTTCTTGGAAATATTGCATGTGCATGCTAACGTATCACCAGTCAATAGGACAGGTAGGGATCTCAGCAGCTCTGATGAAACCCACTCACAAACTCCACTCGTCCTCACAGTAGGAACCTCAAATTTCCAAGGCAGAAGCTGGGAGATGGCACAACTTTGGGGGAACTTGCCCTTAATGTGGTTCAGAACTGTGCATCCCTCCCCTTACATCATCTTGCTTTGCTCATCTTCCTAAGGACATAAGGAATAAGGAGCAGGTAAGACTTATTAATTTTGTTTATAACCTGCACAAAAGCAGTGAATTATATGCAGGCTGTTAAGAAGGTCGTATTATCCTACAAGAGCTGACCCAAGTGTCATGAACTTGGCTCTCCCTCATGTAAAGCAGTGGAAGCTTGCTAGAGTGTGGAGTTAAAGAAATCTAATAAGACTCCTTAATAGCATGAGAAAAGCCAAACCTTTGATTTTCTTTTTTTAAGAAAAAAAAACTATTTTCTGTCTATTCCCATAAGAATCCCATCTGCAAAATAACCTAGAATAGGCTATGCTGCTAGAAAGCCAGTGGACTTTCAGGGTTGAAGCGGAAGGCAAACACGACCTATGAGCAGCTACAGAGGAACGCTTTGAGACAGTTGTTTCCTTGTCATGAAGCCAAACAACTGTTCTGTGGGACAGCAAAAGCTTCTCCATCATGGTAACATCTAGAGAAACCTCAGTCAAGACACATGGTTTCCTTAAACCAGTACATCATGGATGTACACAAAGTTCCCTTGGATGAAGCATGTGTGAAACATCAGCCCCAAAATTAAGCGAAGCTACAGCATTGTTCAATGCAACGCATGGAGAGGTGACAAAAAGGCCATGTCCTGATCTGCAGCCAATGATGGTTCTCTTTAAACTCCCACAGATATCTAACACAGCCTTGAAAGGGAGGTGACAGAGCTGATGATCCATTTTCATCTTACAGGATCAAACAAGCATCCTGCTAAACCCTGGGGAATGTTCTTCGAAAGGGCAACCGCTCGCAACGCTTTGATGTTCTCCTTCCCTACATCTGAGATGTCGTCAGACTCGGGGGGTAAGAGCCTGCAACAGGTTCTGATTTTTGGCAAACAGTTCAAACGAAAGAAGAGTCAGTAAGTAACAAGCATGGCCAATGCTACAAAGATTGCTCAAGAGGTCTCTGCCCCCCTGCTTTGAAATCGCTACAGGAACGATGTAAGCAAACATGTCCCCAGTACATGAACCTTCTGAAGGAACCGTCAGTGGGGCAACACTTCTCTCCACATCAAAGACAGTTGCTTCCTTCCCTTAGACTAATGCCTGAACTTTTTTAAAACCCAGAGCGTTAGCACAAGTGAGCTAAGCTTTCTGGCACTCTCAGGAGATAAGTGGTTATCATCTGTAAAACAAGCCCAAATCTGTTTTTACAAGGTTAAGTAACTTGCCCAAGATCACAAACAGCTCTGGGCACTGCCAGAACTGAAGCTATTGCTCTTGATCAGCTCTTTTCTGCTCCAGCTGGTAGACAACAAGGCTTTCTCCTACCATGGGTTAAGCACCAACTCATGCAAGCATCAGGGCATCTGACTATCAATTGCTGTTAACTCCCTCATACACCTTCGCCAGAAGTGGGGGAAAAAAAAAAAAAAGTTTAACTCATCAAAAAGGCAAAAGAACATCCTGGGTGTGTCAGGAAGAGCAATAAGCCTACTTATAGCCTATTTTTAAAGATTTGCATTTTGGTAGGCTGAAAATACATGTAACTGAATAAATCATGCACATGAGCAGACCCACAGAAGGGAAGGGAAATCTCCATGCTCTATAACGCCATCAGGTTCGTGATGACACCAAGCACCCCTCATTGTTGCCTTCAGTATTCTCCAGAAATCAGGCTGTTTGGCTAAAAGAGCAATCAAAAGCATACGATGAAATACTGAACATTGACATGCTGGTATCATTCACCAGTATCCCGGTTCGAGTTTTAACTCTCCTGACAAACACGACAGTGTTTCTACCTTGCTGACATCTCAGACTGCACAGAGTAACTCCATGTGTATAGCTAGGCTTTCTTTTTCATACGTTTTTTTTGCCACAGTACGAAATTAGGTCAATTATATGCTGGCTTAACTGTGATAGAAGTTAAATAATCCACCCTTTAACTCCTCCTGCATTGCATTTTACCCCATTTCTCCTCCTGCTCCTCAGTTACTTTAAATTTAGTTTGGAAACAATTCACTACTTGGAGCTGTTTCAAGAAGTGCCAATATATTGCAGGAAAACATACAGAAATTAAAAAACTATTTCGGTCTACGCAGACATGGGTGCAGTGACTGCTTCTGTCGTGATAAAGCAAATTCCTCATCTTCACATAAAACCACACTTTAAAAGTTATTTCAAATGAGACAACTCTTCAGCTATGTAATTCCTTACTGGGTCACTTACTGAAACTTGCTTTGGGCAATACATAAGAGCAAAAACATGAAGAACTCGGGGTTCTGGTCTCTCTGCACTTATCCTTGGAGAGATGAGATGCATCGGTATGATAGCACTGCCGCCTCTACATAATAACGATGCAAAACAACCAGCAGGAGAAAAGGTGGAGATTTCTGAGCTGTAAGTCAGCAGCAGACAAGTTATGCAGGGCCTTAGACCTGGCCATCTAATTGGTACCTGCATCTGTGATCTGGGGTGCAGCTAAAAGGGCAGCAGCAAAACTCTTCAGACTTTTTCTCATTAAACAAGGCACACATGGAGACAAAACACCCCTAAACAGAGCTTTGCTAAAACATGATTTCATTTCCTACTCCTCTAAAAGTGGAAATCCTGTCCAAACCTCCTATTTTCAGAATTCACATTTGAGCTACTGAACAATGAGCCCCCAGCCTGGGCGGCTATTTAAAGCCCTGCTGGAAGCACATGTTTGGGTTTGCCTGGTAGGTGACTAAGGACTCCAGAGCTAATTGCATCCTCTGAGTTACCATGGTGGGGCTGGGTTGAAAGAAGATTTATAAAGAGATTTAAGCAGGACAGGAAAGCCAGACAACAAACATGGTGAATCTCATGGAGTATCTCGGGTTTGCATCCAAGAGACATTGCCATCTGGTGGCTCGTGGACAGGGAAATCAAGGGATCTCCTGTGGCTATCTGAAAAGTGGATCTTTTCTGCTTCAGAAATCCCAGATTCTGGTTCTGAAAAACAGAGTCTATATTTGACGTGTGATTTACATAGTTATTGTATTCACTCTTGCAACAGGAAACCTTATGAAATACATAGGCACAGTACCAGTAACAGACAGGAGCCTTTGTTTTTTGTATTAAACCCTCAGCTATTAATACGCAGAGAGTAGAAAGATTTTTTTAAGGCCCTTTATA